CGGTGAAGACTTTACCCTGACCCCCCAGGTACCTACTATATAGGGTACTAGAGCCCCTGGGGCCCTATATAGTAGGTATCTGGGAGGTTAGGGTTAGAGCGGGGGCATAGTTACTCCGAGCCCAACTGCAAACATGCATAATTGTAATCCAATATAAGGCTTTCCGAAAATTAGGGGTACCTTATTTTGGGGTCCTTATAATAAGGATCCTATTATGTAGGGTCCTATATTAGGGTCCCGTATTTTCGGAAACTGCTAACATGAAGAAGCCACAATACCGCAAGTCCCCGCAGTGTTGATGATAAACCCTACATTCCTTATTCAGGGGTAATGCAGGATTTCTTTCGTCCACCGTAGTCCCCTCCCTTTCCATCCCAGGCAAACCCTCAACCCAGTTGAGCGGCCTTCTCGGCACCTGTGCTGCAGATGGCAGCATCCACCGCACGAGCAGCCTCCATACCAAGGGCTTTACACTTGAGGGGCCCGGGCTTCGGTAGTTTTAGGGCGTAGGGTTTAGGGTTTAGGGTTTAAGGTGTATGGTTTAGGGGGCTCTTGTAAATCCAGAAACTCTACACGCATGTACCTGCAAGGGCAATGAAGCCCCCTGCAATAACTGCTTTAAGGTATTGGGTTCTCTGATTTGAGGGAAGGAAACCCTGAATCCGAAGCCCTACAACGACAGTCCGCAAAAGTTGCACAGCCCGCTTCCTGGGAACAAGCATGAAGCCGAGGTCAGAGCCCGAAACCCAGAAGCCGCCTTACCTTGCTAAAACGTCGTTAACGAGACATGTTGCAAATGCCCGGGGCGCATCAATATGAGTGTTTGAGGGGCCGCCTGCGATTTCTCACAGCGGGCGCACCATATCCCTGAGGGAATCGCGTAGCTTGCGACGTCACGTCCCCAGCACTTCTTGGCTGCAAAAGGACAGACGGGGGTTTTGGGTCGGCCTCTGAAGACGAGCAGCGCCTCCTTCAGCGGCATGAAATCAGCCCTAATGGACTCGCATCATGCGTTACAACAAATTCTTTAATTAGCGCCACATGGCTGAAAACGGATAACAGTGCAGGAGTCA